TTTTTTAAAATAAATTTTTATTTTATTTTATTTTCTAAGTAACTTTTTTTTAAATAAGTTTTTATTTTAAATTTATTTTTTATATATAATGCAAAGTAATCGTTTTACCTTCTTTAAAATTAATGAAAATGGTAAAAAGAAATTGGATGGTCATGATGAAACTTAATATGAAATTGGTTTGCCATGGTGAAATAAAATTAAATTGGGTGGTTATGGTGATACTAAATATAAAGTTGGATGGCTATGGTGAAATAAAATCAAATTGGGTGGTTATGGTGATACTAAATATAAAGTTGGATGGCTATGGTGAAATAAAATCAAATTTGGTGACCATAATGACACCAAATATAAAGTTGAATGGCTATCAGTGAATTTAACCCGAGAGAAACACAACGAAGAGAGAATCGGAGACGAGGAGAGATGGATCAAGATGTTTGGGCTTGGATTGGGTATGAGAATTGGGCAATGGCAGGTTTTAAGAGTTTCATTTTTATTGTTTTAATTTTTTGTGTGTGGAATTTACACAGGTGTTTAAAAATTACATTGAAATTGTGGTTCAATGTATCTGATTGCATGGACTTGAGGGTGATGGTTGATAGAAGCCTTCCACAGTAGAGGGGACTTGAATTTAACATATCTCTATCCATCCGCATTAATGATGCATATTCAACGGCACAAATGGCTATCCTTAATTGGTCAGAATGAAGTTCTTACACAATGGATTAGACTTTTTTTTTACCTAATGTATCCAACAATGGTTAGTGGTGTTAGAGGTTGCCATATGGATATGTAACGTCAAGCTATCAAAATGTCACCCACCAATGAAAATTCAGATAATGATTTCTTTAGATCAGGACCTTTGCTGCCCAATTCATATAAATTCCTTTACTGGGCTACCATGGAACCCAAGCCAAATATACCAAACAATTTTCATTGATCAGTGTAGCTTTCTGTTTAATTTAGTCTGCAATGGCTGCATCGACAATGGCTCTTTCTTCCCCATCTTTTGCCGGGAAGGCAGTTAAGCTTTCACCGTCAGCTCCTCAGATCACAGGTAATGGAAGAGTCTCCATGAGGAAAACTGCTACCAAGCCTATTTCATCCGGCAGTCCATGGTACGGCCCTGACCGTGTCAAGTACTTGGGTCCATTCTCGGGTGAGCCACCGAGCTATCTCACTGGTGAGTTCCCTGGTGACTATGGTTGGGACACTGCTGGACTCTCAGCTGACCCTGAGACATTCGCCAAGAACCGTGAACTTGAGGTGATCCACTGCAGATGGGCTATGCTTGGAGCCCTTGGATGTGTTTTCCCTGAGCTCTTGGCTCGTAATGGAGTTAAGTTCGGTGAAGCCGTGTGGTTCAAGGCTGGATCCCAGATCTTTAGTGAGGGTGGACTTGACTACCTAGGCAACCCAAGCTTGATCCATGCACAGAGCATTTTGGCCATCTGGGCTTGCCAAGTCATCTTGATGGGAGCTGTTGAGGGCTACCGTGTAGCCGGAGGGCCACTTGGTGAAGTAGTCGACCCACTTTACCCTGGTGGCAGTTTCGACCCATTGGGTCTTGCTGATGACCCTGAAGCTTTCGCTGAGCTCAAGGTTAAGGAAATCAAGAATGGAAGATTGGCCATGTTCTCTATGTTTGGTTTCTTTGTTCAAGCTATTGTAACTGGAAAGGGTCCTTTGGAAAACCTTGCTGACCACCTAGCAGACCCCGTTAACAACAATGCTTGGGCATACGCCACAAACTTTGTTCCTGGCAAGTGAGCACGAAAAATCCAGCTGAACCATAATTTGTGTGGTGTGGTGTGGGAAATGTTAATGTATATGGATTTGTTCTAATGAAAAGCATGTTTTTTTGCATCATTGAGTACCAATTTCAGAATGAATATCTGTATAATGCAGATTTAATATTTGAAAATGCTCAAGTATAGATCGAACTAATAAAATTGATGACGATTAAGATAAATAGAAAGGGAAATGAGAGAACTCAATTGTCTTATTTTATATCGTCTTCTGTTTGTATCAAATTGTTTATGAAGTAGAAAGATTTAAGTCATAATTATCTAACCGTCAAAGGAGTCTGGATTACTGGAAATCAGCACATTTAAGGCTATAACATTACAATTATTTGTCGTGGGAAAGGAAAAACAAAAAGTAAAAATGAAAAATAAAAATAAAAATCTCGTGCTCCAAACACGAATGCATTGAGAAATTTGAATTATAAATGCTTCTTTAATAGGAAATTCTCTTGTTTACAACTACCATGCCAAGGGTGTAAACCAGAATACAATATCTATTCTTCAACTAAATATAGAAATGCAGCATAATTTAGGCTAGGCTTCACTGATAAATTGTATTGCACTTGTTTTTTCCTTCACTTTCCTTGTATTCGAAAACAAGCAAGCAGGTAGGATGCAGCCATTGCAGGATTGTTGCATTATGAGGCTAAGTTGTCTTCACCGCAGGAAGTTCACATCATTTTGCGTTGCTTTAAGAGGGAAGATAATACTTTTTCCATGTCAGGTCGATTCTCAGGATCTGGGCTGGTGCAGGACAATGCTAAATGGAGAAGCCCTTCTAGTACCTCTTGTTTCTTGGTAGTATACGGCACTAAACGAGGATCCACAATTTGAAGTAGGCCATTGATTCCATATGCAAGTGCATTCTGCACAAGTTGAGACAAGGTAATTGGCAATCCTTCTCCTGTAAGTCCTGTTGGCCTTTTTGCTGTGATCAGCTCCATCACTATAATACCGAAGCTGAAGATGTCCACTTTTGTCGTTACTTTCCTCATGTATGCAAATTCTGATGCATAGAAAAGCATGTTATTCATAAGATAGGTTTCAACATCAGAAAAGGGCATGTAAGAATGAGCATGAAATGTTTGTCCCCCACGCGAAAGATGATTTAGTTGTATATCATATTCTTGAAATTTCATAGTGCTAGTACCAATATATATTTACACAAATCATTTGAACTCGGAAAACTAGGTAGAAAATCTTCATAGAACACCTCGTGTGAATTACTAAAACATGCCAAATGTACTGAAAAGCATTACCTGGGGCCATGTAGCCAATAGTCCCTTCAAATGCTGACGCTGACGAGATGCTGCTTCCATCCTCCAGGTGAATTCCAAGCATCCGTGCCGTGCCAAAATCACTCACGTGTGCTTCCATCTTAACATCCAAAAGAATATTAGAAGGCTTCAAGTCACAGTGCACTATGGGAAAATCGTAACCGGAGTGCAAGTACACCAACCCACTTGCAATGGAAACTAAAGAATCAATCCTCTCTATTAGCGTCCAACTGGGATTGTCCTTTTCTGGGTCATGTATAATTTTTTCCAAGTTACCATTTTCCATGAATTCCAAAATTAATGCTTTAAGCTTACGACTCTCCCAAGCATAGCCCAGCACCTTAACCAAATTCTTGTGCCTCAGTTGGCCCAAAATCTTGACTTCCGTGTTGAAGCATTTATCTGAAACTTCCAAGAACTGGTGTATATTCAGTTTCTTCACGGCTATTGCCTTTCCATCTTCCAATGTGCCCTTGTACACAGTACTTACACTGCTTGCACCAATAACATTATGCTCACTGAAGAAATTAGTAGCAACCTCTAAATCCTTTGGACTAAATCTTTTGAGGGTCAATGCTGACGTGAAATCCAGCTTCGGATTCTCAAGCTTTTCGGTTTTCTGCTTCTTGATCTTTCGGCGTACAGCATAAATTGCCAATAGCAGAATAATAAGGATAAATACACAACCAAGTGCTGAAAGGATGAACAATATCTTCTTTCCGAGATGATGGAAACTTTTCAGATTATTCCTGGTGCTACATGACTTGAAAAATTTTGTTCCACAAAGAGCTGGATTTCCTTGTAAACTAGTTGAACTTATGTTTCCAAATACACCAGCTTCAGGAACACGGCCTTCAAGCAGATTAACAGAAAGATTGAGAAATTTCAAACTGAAAATGTTGGCCAAGCTTTCGGGAATGATGCCCTCAAACTCGTTTTGGGACAGATCAAGGGACGAAAGATGCCTCAGACTAGTCAAATTTTCAGGAAGTCCACCATTCAACTGATTCCTGGAAAGGTTCAGGTTCACAAGTTCACTAAGTTGAGGAAAAATTTCGTCGGGGAGTCGGCTAGAGAAATTGTTCCCTGAAAGATCTAGGGAGATCAAATTTCTGCAGCCCTTTAGTGCTCTTGGAATGCTTCCAGACAAATTATTGTTTGACAAGTCAATAACTTGCACCATGTTCAACATGCTAATCTCGTCTGGGATTGTCATGTTCAGGAAATTGTATGAGAGATTAAGGGAGATTTGCAAATTCTTCACACTTGCAATCAGTGACCCTGGAATAGATCCACTAATATGGTTGCGGGAGAGATCTAATGTTATCAATCTCCTAAGCCGTGCTAAGCTTTTTGGCATTGTCCCATTAAGCTTGTTTCCGCTGAGGTCCAGGTAAGACAATGATTCAAGTTTTGAAATAGCACGAGGAATTGGCCCGACAAATTTATTGTTCTGTAACTGGAGATCAGTAAGTTGTTCGAGCTCAGACAGATTTTCTGGGATTAATCCTTCCAGCTCATTGTCATTCAGTGCAAGGCCCTGGAGGAGTGTTAGTTTTGAAAGTTCTGGAGGAACTAGACCCGAGAACCTATTTCTGTGAATCACCAAATCTATCAGTTGGCTTAGATTACCGATCTCACTTGGGATTGGCCCGAATAATGAATTATCACGCGAGCGCAGAATTCTGAGACTCACCAGTCTGCCAATGTTCGGGTTGAGGGTACCACTAAAGTTGTTTTGGCTTAGATCTAGTGTTTCAAGCTTTGAACAGTTGAAGAGGTCATCAGGTATGTTATCTGAGATTTTATTGTTCCCTAAAGATAAATACGTAAGATTTGACAATTGCCCCAATCCCTCTGGTATTTTTCCAGTAAATCTATTACTAGTCAAAGTTATCACAAGAAGACGCGTACAATTGATAATACTAGATGGAATGGATCCCTCGAGGAGATTATCATTCAAGGTTAAATTCTTCAAATTGTACAAGAATCCAATATCCTTAGGAAGTGGCCCTGTCAGTGAATTGAAGCCTATAGACAAATATGTCAAGTTCCACAAGTTTGTTATTGTTGAAGGGATCTCACCGGTGAACCTATTTGAATGGAGAGTCAGCACTTCTAGTGCACTCAAAGAGCCGATTTCAGAAGGTATATTACCAACCAACTCATTCCGGGAGAGTTCCAAATGAGTTAAAGATTTCATCCTAAACAATGAGTGTGGAATTGTGGAGTTCAACTTGTTATTGTATAGCCTCAAGGCTTCTAAGTTAACCAAATTTCCCAGTTCCACGGGGATGCCACCAGTGAACTGATTGCTATATATGTTGAGCAAGGTTAACTTTGTACAATAGCCAAGTTCAGGAGGGATTTTTCCAGAAAGAAAGTTGAAATACAATTGAAGCATTTCCAAGTTTAACATATTTCCAATTTCTTGAGGGATTTTTCCAAATAGCCGGTTGTTACTTAAATCTAGAGCTTGCAATGCCTTCAATGTACCAATAGAAGAAGGTATGGAACCTTCTAAATTGTTATCATAGGCGACAAAAATTAGAAGGTTTTCAAAGTTACCAATTTTCAAAGGAATTATCCCCGTGAGATTGTTGTATACGAGACCGAGTTGTAATAACCCCGTGCAGTTGCACAAGCTATCAGGGATGCTTCCGTTCAAGAAATTATTTCCAAAGTCTATTGTCTGCAAATTTTTCAGAATTCCAAGTTCTGCTGGAATAGAACCGGTAAGATAGTTCTGATAAAGGACTAATTGAGTAAGCTGTGTGCATGATCCCAATTGAGGCGGGATTTTTCCTGTGAACAAATTCAGAGTTAGATCAAGAACCTGAAGGCTGGAAAGGTTCCCTAGAAATGGAGAGATTTCACCCCCCAGCTGCTTGTCGACCAGAGAAATGGAAACGACGTGACCAGATGATGTATCACATTCAACCCCAGACCAGTTGCAATGATAGTTGGCTCCATTCCAATTGACAAGTGCGCCAAAAGGATCATTGGCGATTAAGTTTTTGAATGCTTTTAAAGCTTCCACCTCAACTTTCAAGTCCATTCCTTCAGAAAGAATCCCAAGTAGGCAAGTGAAACATATGAAAACTGCAAACGTAACTCTTCGAAACACCATTGCTTCTATAGATACAATTGATATTGCATGTATAGCTTGAGTATGGATTTTCGCATAGGTTTAGCAGAAATATATATAGTCCATTACTATCTCTCTATCAACAGGGAAGACATTCAGTCAGTGGACAGAACAAAGCACTGCAATTATGACTTTTAATTCTAAGTCTTAAGAACAAGTTGCCAGTAGTTGACTCATTTCTTTTTCTTAATACCGACTGTGGCCAATGTATCTTTGCCAAAATATTCGAGAAAGTCCACAAAATCAACTTGCTAGTCCACTCACGGCCTCCACCAAAAATAGATGGTAACATATTGTAAATGTGGAAAAAAATCCTCTAGCCTACCTACCATATTAAGACAAAATCTAAATATTCCCACGTCCAAAACAAGTCCCAAAATTTCAACTGAGTATACGTAGGGAAAAATAAAACTATTAATTTTAGATCAGCAATAAACCTTTTTAAACCTTGTTTTAACTCGGAAAGGACACTTTCATGTCTGTATATAGTCAACTTGAAGATTAAGCTAAAAATAAGTATTAATGCCCCTATGGCACATCTCCAAGTAATAAAAGGAGAATGTGGAAAAACTTCAACTTTGTTTGAGACTGTCGCGTCAAGGGTTCAAATCCTGAAATATGGATTTAGCCCTTGGATAAGTGCAAGTTTACAAGCAGCCTTCCACCTTATACCCTTGGAGACATAACCTGCGATTTAACTCCTTCACCAAAGCCCAGGACAGTGCAGGTGGGGGTCGTCAAGAATGCAGCTCATCCTTTTAAAAATAAGTACTGATTTGTATATAACCCTTCTACTGTTCTTTCTCGATCTGTCTGTAAATGCAAGTTGGTAGAAAATGTCAAGTGGATTGGATGGATATTGTGATGATTATTGGATGGTGGTAGTTCATTGAAATCAGCCCCTTTCTGATGGATATTCATATCCTTATCTAAAGTGCCCCATACCCCACATGGGTGTTTGGTTCATTTAAGACCAAAACCGTTTCCAAAGAATTGATTCACAGAAAATGATTTTTGGGTACTTAAAAAGTGGAAAAAATTTAATATGAATCCAAATATTCGTTCCAAGTATAGAACTACGATTGTATGTGTACTCTCTTTTTCTCTGCTGATAGCTCGTTTTCATATTTAAGAGTTCATTTGCAACAATTCTGAAGCTTAAGAAACTATGACAGAAAGCCTCAAGACTTTCCTTTTTGCATATGCTTCTTGTGTCAAATATAGATTATTTTTTGTTGCCTTCCATAATTCCATCAATTTATTTCACAAAATCGTGGTTTTCAGCACCCCCTGATGATAATAGCAAGCGTAATGCACTTAAAATTTTGGAAGAAAATGTAAATAATAAGGCAATAAATATTAAGCAAAAGATTACTACGTTGCCCTTGCTTGACAAAGCTTTTTGAGATTATAAACTAATGGGTCCCATAAAATGTGGATCAAAAAGAGACTAAAAATTGTGAGTCCAATAAAATATATAGTTAAAAAATAAAGTCTGACCAATTTATAATCTTAAAAAGTTTTGTCAAATGGGCAAAATAAATAGCACCCTCTTTAGCCATAATGGACATCTAATCCAGTATCACGTGCAATGAAAAATAAGATATATATGCATGTAGTGTAAAAGAAAAAGGCCAGAAAGCAGGGAAAGAAAACACACGGAATTACTTATCTATTGACTATTGTTAATAGTGTCTGACATTACAATGAAACAAACAAGCAAGAAATTGGACATAGTACAGAGATGGAAACAGATTAAGCCTAATACAAATCAACTGTCGTCCAAAATACCTGGGAACATTTTACATTCATTCTGTCCACATACGTAGAAGACCCTTGAGGCTGGAATGTCTGTGGGAACCTAAGCATCATCAAACTTTTACCACAGCCAGTTGTGTAGATACAAGATAACGTCTTGTAACAAATATTGAGAGAGAGAGAGAGGAAGGCTTCAGGTGCATCTACGAGCTCCCGAACTTTGTCAGGGTACATCAACTCAGAGTTCATGGCTTTACGAAACTAACTGATCTGGTTACTAAAACGACTGCATTCGTCATTGCTGCAGGGGATATTATTCAAGTATATTTCGTTGAATTTCCAACTCCCATTTCCTGCACTTCAACCCTGAGAGACTTCAGGTACCTAACAGCTTCATCGAGAACAGCTACAGTACTCATCTGGTTGGCACCGGGAACAATACTTCTTAATGCATTCACCATTTTCCTCATCTTCTGATTCTTGTCATTAGAAGACTTCTCAGAAGGAGGTGACCTCCTCTTTCTAGACAGAGATTCATAATTAGAACATGAATCTGAAGAATCACTCTCATAGTTTGCATCCATTCGAGCTGTGCTCACCTCATCATCTTCGTATTCTTCAGTTTCTTCATATTCTGTGCTCAACAGCGCATCAATATCATCAGAATCTTCTTTAAAAGAAGTTATTTCTTCATCTTCTTTCTTATCCTTCCAACCAATGTTGTCTAGGTAATTAGACACACCAACACCACCAAAATCAAAATGAGGAAACTTAGAATCAATCTCGGGATGGAACAATATTTGGCTTCTATTATTTGTTTGGTCAAAGACTATAAAATTCCTCGGGCATGCTTCAGAGGTCTGAAAGTCAACACCATGTAAGGGCATAGAAGGTTTTATACCCGAGGGTAGAATTGTTCCACCAAAGATGGATGCAATAGGAGTCTTGCTCATGCAGTAATTACCCACTTGATCAGGAAGAGGAAGGATGGGATTTTGAGGGAAATATTTCCGGTCACTATGCATTTGGAACAGTTAACAACTTCAATGATATACAAGTCTGCAGCTTCCAAAAGGGTTCTCTTTGATTTCAAATTGGACGAAAGTTTTACAGTAAAAAACTAACTAAAAAGACGTTTGTGGTACAACTAAGGTGTATCCATCTTAGTGAAAGAGAGCTGTCTGATCCGTTCGATAGTTTTTGCGTTCAATGCTAATTCGAAAAATTTCAACACAACCAATTACCAAAAAAGAAGGCCACCAATCCCAGTCTTACAAGGTGATTACCGAACAGACTACGTAACAGGTTTAAGCAACTGACGGAAATATTCAGCCTGTAAGCAAAAGATATTCATGAGCTAGCTTATCCAATAATATCTTGGAATTAAAAGGCCCAAACAAGAGAAAGAAAGAAATTCTAACCCATGAATCCATAAAAAATGACACAATAGAAATAAAATTTTCGAAAAAATAAGCATCGACAAGAGAGAAACAAATTGGAGCCCAATGACTTGAGAAAAGTTTAGTAGTACTTATTAATTTGATCTCAAACTGAGATTAAAGCAAGATACCTGTGCAACAAAATAACTGCAAACAGGAAGCACACTCACCTGACGAACTTGCATCAATTGATAGAAAGCAATAGCTCCAACATTCATCTTAAGTTTTCCAACTTCCGTTACTTTACTATGTTTCTTTTGGGTAACTGCAATGTACATTCTCACTGCTCCAACCAAATTTAAGTAGATCGCTATAGAAGTAAATAGAAATTTCGCCACTGAACAAGACACCTGTAAAATATTCCCACCTTAGAATTGTTATTGACACATGAAAAGGGTAAAAAATCATAGAATTTAAAATATCAACCTCCAGTGTTGGCAACTAATCATAGCAGTTAACAAAAAACAACGTTCGGAATATAGAAAACACTATAGCCTAGCTTAAGCTGAATCACAATAAAGATTTTATTTATTTTTTCAAAATTCTCAGGATGCACTCAGCAGAGTAAAATTGTAGCCTTGGAAGTGAATTTGGAAATAATTTCCTCACAATTACAAGTGCGCATGTAAATCTTGCACAAACTTTAGTGTTTATCTAAATCAGTTTAACGTACTGCCAGTTTTTTATTGGAGTACCCATTAGTGTGATGTTGAACATTCAAACCAAATCCCAATATACACAAATGAACACCGGGAGACATTAGGCATAATAATGGGTGCATGACATCTCAGTGTCCGCCTATCAATACAAAGGATTGTGTATGGAAAACATGTGAATATTACAAAAGTGAGAATTTTTTCAATAGAATATTCATACTATAATGATATTAAACATACATATACAGAGAGAGCTTCTGAGAAAGTGATAGGAAGGAGGAAGGAATCTCACCAAATGAAATCAAATTACACAATAACCCAAAAGAATGCCACCAATCGCACACACTTTCCACAATAACGAGACGTCCAAGACATGTTTATCCACTTCTTCAGCCCAGATTGCAGATTCAACACAAACCTATTCTGAAGTGAAACAATTGGAACCACATATTAACATAAGCACAAAGAAAGATCAACAACCAAATGGCTAGCCTTTAATAAATACTAGAAAGAATAAGTACACTTCAGAAGAATCTTAATAATAAGCCAATTCTTAAGGCAACTTCAAAACAAATATAAGGACGAGAGAAAGTCGAAAACCAAGAAAAGCAGGTAATAAAAAATTTAACAAAGATATTGAGGAAAAAAAAAAAAAGCAATGTCCAAATTGTGAATATAGAAGACACATACGTATCAGAAAATCGAAGGCAAAACCCATAAAAATAAGAAACGATATTCACAGATCAGCCATAGAATAATATTAAAATCTAATCTTTCTCTTCAATAACAAACTAAAATAACCCACACAGATATTCATACTCATCAAAGATTCATAATTTGTTATACCCCCAGACTCTCAAATATAATAGAAACATACAAAATTCAGAATCGGAGTAAAACAACACTCACAACGGTATAATATTCATACTCATCCAAGATTCATCAATTTGTACACGCATGTTCAAAAATAAAATCATGTTCATAAAGAAAATATTCCAAGAAACTAATAAAAACAGTCGAAGAGTGAAATTTGAGAATACCCAAAAGAAAAGACAGAAGATTTAACCAAGAGGGTTCTTGTGATGAGCTTCAAGATGAGGAATAACTTTTCTTTTCTTGAAAAATAAAGCAACACGAGTGTGAAATAATAGGGGGTGTGAAAGTATGGTTATGGGAGAGTGAATTTAACGCAGTAACAGCGTGGGGGGTATATAGGGAAATGTGAGGGGAGTCAAAGGAGGGGAATCAGAACCGTTGGATTGCGGAAAGAAGGACTCTTTCCGCGTAATCCGGATGGAGTTTCGGCCCTTGGATCATAGAGCACGCGTGAAGAAAAAAGGTCGGTTTGACAAAATGCGTATCTACTATTGGAAATCGAAATCTCTTGGGTAAATGCACTTTTCAGAATTTTATTTTATTTTGCTACGTTGTTTCCTCTTTTCAGTTAAAAAATTCCAATTTCAATTATGTTCAGTAATGATATTATCCAGTTTATTTATTATTCCTCAAGTTATGAATTAATTGAAGAATAAATTTATCGAAAAGATAAAATAATTTTGAAGAAATGGAAAATAGTAAATAGTTTTTACCCTTTAATGTAATTGTGAAAAATGTGGTAAAAATATAAAGTTGTAGATCCATCACATTCACATGTTTGATAATCTATTTGAATGATATCTTCATTAGACTGTCATTTCTTTAAAATAAATGATGCATCACGCGGATATAAATTCTACCTTGTGATAATGTGCATTTATTAAAAGTCAATGACCTACCTAACCAGTTGTTGCAAACCTAGCTGCTGCTGCTACTACTACTACTAAACTAATATTATAAACTAAGCAACACAATAATAATTTCTCACTTCATTTTTCACTCAAAACTTTTTGTTTAATTTTTAATTGCATGTACTCCATCAATCAACTATTAAAAAATGTATTCTACACAAAAAATGGGTCTCAAATGGGACTACGTGAATTATTTTTCCATTCCATATTTAATTATGAATTTAGTGTGATTTTAATCAAACATCTGTGTCGCTCAAGTGAATTGGTTTCGAGAGCATTTCGTCCATTTTTTACAACTTTCACTTTCACGTTTAGTAAGAAGTAAGGAGACCGTACATCATTGTCTTCAACGAACCATACGTCACAAACTCTTAACTTAGTTGTTCGGGTTCTGGTTTGAAGTATGAACCGGTTCTCCACTTCTTTTAACCGGGTTTTCATCTGCAATTTTTTATGTGTAATTTGAACGACTTCTTGATATGATCATATGTTATTATATTAGCAATATTTTCTTTACTTATATGAGGAACATGTTTTACTTATTTAGATAAACTAAGATGAAATGATTAATTCCAATAATATGTTATACTTCAAATAAGCTGCAATAGGGAACATTTGAATGGGGTCCGTGGAATTATAATTTGTGTAAGTGATTGGCTTGGAATTTAATTTAATCCTATAAAATAAATCCCCCCCTTTTTTCTTCGCAATGCTATCTTTTTCAAATGCTGTCTTGTCCTTGGTGTTTTTAAATGGGATTGATGCGCATGCCCAAAAGCACGCTTGTGACAGCACCATTCCAAATCAGCCTCTCATGTTCAAGGGAACATTATCACTTATAAGTTGCTTTTTCTCTTTTGTTTTTATTATATGACTTCTAAATGTCGTTTTGAATATGTTAAAAGTAACTTAGCAATTGTTGTAACATTTTTTTTAAAGTTTTAAACTTTCACAATAAATATTAAACTTCAGTTTTGATTTTTAATATTAACTTTTAATACAAAATTAAATCTCATAATTTAGACTTTAACTTATACTTAAATATGATTTATCAAAATTTCTGGGATATTGTTGGTAAGGATGTAACCTCCTTGTGCTTACATTGTCTGAACACTCATACTTTCCCTGCAGGTCTCAATAACACCTCCATTGTTCTCATTCCAAAAAAAGAGAATCCCGAGGTTATGCAAGAATTTAGACCAATATCTCTATGCAATGTTTTGTATAAAATAGTGGCCAAAACTCTTGCTAATCGCCTCAAATCTATCTTGCCGGATGTCATTTCAGAGACGCAAAGTGCATTTATTCCAGGTCGATCCATTAATGATAATATTATGTTGGCATTTGAGGCTCTTCACCATATGAAGAAAAAGAGGCAGGGTAAGCATGGAATTGCTGCCTTAAAGATTGACATTAGCAAGGCATATGATCGGCTCGAATGGGGTTTTCTAAAGCAAGTGATGACTCAAATGGGGTTTCCTCAAAATTGGATTGACTTGATCACTTTATGTGTCTCTACCGTGCAGTATAATGTTGTTCATGGGGGCTTTGATATTGGTCCTATTGTTCCAGAACGGGGATTGCGGCAAGGATGCCCTCTATCGCCATATTTATTCATCCTTTGCTCTGAAGGATTATCCTCTCTTATTCGCGCTAAAGAAGCGTCGGGCGATATCCATGGTTGCAAAATTGCTAGAAATGCCCCTACTCTTACTCACCTCTTCTTCGCGGATGATAGTCTATTGTTTTTTCGAGCAAACATAAGGGAGTGTGATGAAATTAAGGGGCTCCTTCACAAGTATGAAAGGGAGTCAGGCCAATCCATCAATTACTCTAAATCCACTTTGTTTTTCAGCAACAACGTTGACCTCGAGAGGCAAAGCACTATTCGCTCTAATTTGGGTATCCAAGCCTTCCACGGGCATGATAAATACCTTGGCTTGCCACCAATCATTGGAAGGAAAAAGAGAGAGGTGTTCTCTTTCATTAAAGATCGGGTTTGGCAAAGAGTTCAAGGATGGAAAGAGAAGTGCTTATCCAGAGCGGGGAAAGAAATCCTTATCAAGACAGTTGTCCAAGCTGTTCCAAATTTCGTTATGAGTGTGTTCTTGTTACCTATTCAACTTTGTGAAGAGATCGAGAGAATCATGAATAAATTTTGGTGGCAATCGAATAAAGGGGGAAACAGAGGCATCAATTGGATTGTATGGGATAAACTTAGCCTTCCAAAATCAAAAGGTGGTATGGGCTTCAAGAAACTGCATGAAACTAATTTGGCTCTACTAGGAAAGCTCGGTTGGAAACTAATAACACAGCCTACATCCTTGGTGGCTCGAATCTATAAGGCACGCTATTTTCCCACTTCATCATTCTTGGAAGCTAACATTGGCTACAGGCCAAGTTATATTTGGCGTAGTATATTTGCTGCTAAACCTGTCTTGAAAGATGGTTGTAGATTCCGTGTGGGTAATGGTTCTTCCATTAGAATCTGGCATGACCCTTGGCTCCCTAGCCCCAGCCAAGGTTTTATTACTTCAGAACCAAGTCCGGGAGTAGAAGATGCCACTGTTGATCAGCTTATTTTGCCAGGGGAGAATAGTTGGGACCACGATCTTCTTGCTGATCTTTTCAGTGAGGAAGACCGTGGGCAAATCATGAAAATTCCCCTAACAGCTCATGGGAGAGAGGATCGTATGTATTGGATTCATGACAAGAAGGGGGTTTACTCGGTCAGAAGTGGATATAAGTCATTGATGGCAGACTCTTTCATACACTCTTATTCTACTACTGAGAATTTTTGGAAAGAACTTTGGAGACTTAAAATTCCGGCGAAGGTTCGAAATTTAATTTGGAGAGCATCATTAAATGTTCTCCCAACAGTTGATCAACTGAGGGTTCGAAAAGTCGAAGTTGACAGTCATTGTCCAGTTTGCTCTATACATGATGAATCAGTTCTCCATGCTTTTGTCTCTTGTGAATTTGCTCAAAAGATCTGGGAGGCAGTGGGAGTAGTAAATTCACCCACCATGGCTGCAAACTTCAAAGACTGGATCACAGCTACCTTAAAAAACCACCAGCAAGATCAAGAGATTATCGTGATGCTTTGCTGGGCCATTTGGTTGAACCGAAATGAAACTGTTTGGAATGCTAAGTCATTTACAGTACTTAAGGTAGTGACTATTGCAAACAATTTCCTCCAGCTTTGGCGTGATGCTAATCGGCCACCTTCAAAACTTGCAATCAGCTCTAGCAGTCCAGAGCTTGTAAAGTGGAAACCACCTACTAGGGGTTCCCTTAAGTTAAATATTGATGCATCCATTTTTGAAGACCGAGGGATGGCCAGGCTGGGCCTTGTGATTCGAAATGACTTGGGTTCCTTTGTTGCTGCCAGAGTTGTTACAGTACGTGGCATTGTTGATCCACTTCTAGCCGAAACTTTGGGGGTCCGCGAGGCTCTTTCTTGGATTAAAAGTAAGTCTCTCGAGGTCCAAACCATTGAGATGGATGCTCTCCTGGTTTATAATGCTCTTCAGAGCGAGGGGATTGACAATTCCTATTTTGGTATTCTTACTGAAGAATGCCGCCTTCTTGCTAGAGAATTTCCACACCTCAAGTTCAGATGGGTTAGAAGATCGGCTAACCAAGTAGCCCACACACTAGCCAAGACCGCTGAATCATTACATGCTATAGTCGAATGGTTTTATTTTCCGCCCTCCTTTCTCTCAAGTGTACTGATTGCCGATTTGATGAATGAATAACTTTATTTTCCTCAAAAAAAAAAAAAAATCTTAGCATTCAATACGTTAATAATAACTTATACTTAAATATGATTTATTTTCATGAATGTGGTGTGGGGTTAAATTTGTTCCTATAAAGGGAGTTGTTTTAATTGTTTTAGAAAAAAAACTTGGGAAAAACACAATTTGAAAAAAAAAAAAAAAAACCGCATATATTTCATACTATATTTCTATACTATTTTGGCAACTCAATAAAGTCGCGTTCTTTCTCTCCCTATGGTCGTGCCTATAAAAGAAGAACCGGTTGTGTGCTATGTGAATTTTAACTTGGAATCGTGTTGTGCCAAAATACCTGCACAAAGGGAAGGCAACACAACTTTAGAACAATGTCCTTGACGTGATTCTCTAAAGATTATTTTTCTAAATATCTTCTCATCTTTATGTTATATTAAGCTAATTGTTTATTATTGAATTATAATGTTTATGCTATTTGATTTGTAGTCTTAATATATAGTCTACGCACAAATCATCCATTTTTGCAAACAATCTAAAGTTGTTATTAGGTGATTTGTATGTAAACAATTTTTGTTATGATCTTTTATAGGTAATGTCATTGCGTATGTTTTTGCTTGTCGTTTTAGTTGTTTTCAGTTATAATCAAGTCAAAATTTTCAAAACTAGTTTTGGTTGTTTTCAAAACAAATTTTCAAAATAACAAAAAAAAATACATTTTCAACAATCTCAAAATGAACATTCAAAACTCAAAACATAAAACTGAAACATGAAGAGAACAGCATCTAAATAAAGGTGATGTTTGTATAAAATGTGAATTCCTCGAGGAAAGTTAAGAATATGGCACCATGATAATTTGGGATTTACTGATACATTTTTTTGTGGATAAGATCGACTGATAGTTGAATATGTAACTCTTTCAATAGATGTCTCGATGACATATCAGCAATAGCATTAGCCAAGCTTCTGAATTTGACTTCGAATGGTCTGTTGTTTCTTTGACGACTATAGATTATTATTTTGTGCGTGGTTGCAGCTGACTTATTTGCTCATGGTTTTATCTTCTCTTGGGTCCCACAGGTATACTAAACCACAAAGTGAGACATCACTTACTAAATTATTATCAAGTAATCAGGAGGTTGTTTTCTTGAAACTGGATTTAGAATTCTGAGAAGGCTGAATTAAAATTTATCTATTCATTCATGAAATGTTAGGTTCATCTGGTGTAATATACTAGATTTTCTTAATTGAGCAACTTGATGTTCAACAGATTTTTCTCACAATAATTCAAGCCTTTGAAAATTAAATGGAAAGAGACGCTTGAAAGGTCATGCAACGGTTGTCCACATAAATGTTTATTATTTGTCTAAGTTTGAAATAATTCAGTAGATAAAATTTGTTGCTTATTCCCGTGGGATGGGTCCTGACGAGTTGTGGCATTGAAGGTCCACTGGTCATTGATAGAGCCAACGGTTCTAAGTGCACCATATCTTGTATCGTGTTGAACGGGCTTACAGTTATAAATGTGATTTTTGAATAATTACTGGTAACTATTCCCACATCTCATTTTAGTTGAAGTTGTCGCTCTTATCTGAAATTTACTACTATCGTATATTTGTGAATTGTTCTTCAACGTGATGCTAGCATATTCGATTTGTTCCTAAACTCCATTATATTATTTCATATGAGTTACTTTTCTTTCGTTGAAAAATTAGATTTTAGATAAGAACCTCATTATTTGGGGTATAAAACTAATCTCGATGGCTTCATGAGAGAGAATAAAGGAGCAGCACTCCTTGCCCTCGAATGGGTCAAGAAAGGTGGCCTCTATGTCACGTCAATAGAGATCATATATTTACTCAATTCTAGTTGGGTATATATTTTATAATTTTATTCTTAGTTTTAAACTTGACTCTTGAAAAGTACTAAAAATTTAATTGTAGACATGCAAGTGAAGTACAAGATAACGTGTCTGCTCACACTTTTTTATTAGGGTCTGTTTGATTCTCGTTATGGTAGGATAAGAATGAAAAATATAGTTGTCATTGGACCCTACACAGGAGATATAAATTCAAAATTGATGGCTTGAAGTGATGGATAACAGTCATATTTTTCATTTTTATGCATAAAAAATGAGAAATAAACGGGGGCTAAATGTCAATATTAGAAATTTCATATGATTATTTTATTATACTTAAATATGCTATATTAATATTTTGATAAGTTTAGAAGACTTTGCAAATGTGTAATATGCAGGCGGAGATTAAGAGTTCTACAAATTGATGATACCAAATTGTTGTCCAAGAGAGACATCATTAAATTGTAGTTCGAGATGGACATACATAAATCATCGAGAGGGTGGGTTTAAGCCCACAACGGAGTCACATTCAAGAGTAACCTAATCTCTGCGATTGAAAATCCCATGAAGAATGTTCAATGTGGTAGAAATAATACGTACTGCATGACTTGTAATAGCACTATTTTATTTGTGTTCATCCCTATGGTAATAATGTTAATATTGATATGATGTTACGAAGGGTCTAACCCTGAATAAGTACCGAGACAAAAAAAAAATTGCGATATATGGATCACACACACCTTTAGAGGACTCACATATATAAGAGTTATCATAATAAGGTCATGGCTATGAGATTGGGCTATTCCCTAGAAACAATTTACTACAATCAAGATCATAATATATTGCCATTAACAGCGTTACCCGTTATGAACCGAGTCAAAATCGATACTCTGTGTGTGGCAATTGAAGTTTGGCCAAAGGGACCTAATTCAATGCTTAGTCTATTATGGCTCCCTCAAATAAAATTTTTTATCACTAAGTGAGGTTCGTCCAAGAGATGCCTACTCCTATTGCACAATATTTGTTGTCACTATTATATATATAATTATATATTTTGAAAGTTTAAAACTTGTGAGGGATTGTTGTAACATTTTTTTAAAGTTTTAAACTTCCGCAACAAATATTAATTTTCAATTTTGATTTTTAATATTAACTTTGAATACAAAATTAAATCCCATAATTTAGATTGTAACTTATACTTAAATATGATTTATTTTTATAAATGTAGGGGTTAAATTTGTTCCTATGAAAGGGAGTTGTTTTCATTGTTTTAGAAAAAAACACAATTTGAAAAAATACTCTTTCTATACTTTATACTATATTTATATACTATTTTGAAAACTCGATAAAATCTCGTTCTTTATATCCTTATAATCGTGTCCATAGAAGAAAAATCGACTATGAGCCATATTGATTTTATCTTGGAGTTGTATAGTGTCGAAAATACTTGTATCAAAAGGAGGCAGCATGACTTTAGGATATCGCCCTCGACGTTATATTTATTATTGAATTATAATGTTTATGCTATTGTAATTTGTTGTGTTAATATATAATTTGCACACAAATCACCCATTTTTCTAAGCAATAAAGTCTCAGTTCAAGAACTAAATTTTTTATTACTGACTAATTATGAGCATCAGGAAAAAGAGAAAATTGGGACCAATGATACATAATGATCTGAAACTGACACTCCAACTAATTATTTTAAACTGAAGAAGCCTAATCTCTGCTATAAAATCAACAACTAATCTAATAATTAAACATAATTAAGAATCCCAAAAAATAATTAAGCTAGTTGAAACTTGACACCGACTGCGAATGACAGCAAATTATCTCCAATCATGATACTGTGTCCACCAGATGGTAACAAATGGTATCCTCTGTAGTTAACAAGCCCAAAACTCTTGCATGCATTCAACTGAAACTTCACCTTTTGGCTTCCTCCTGCAGGCAGGAAAACTTTTTGGAACCCAATCACTTGCTTAATGGGACCCTCTACAATTCCCTTTGGTGGGACCCAGTACACCATTACAACTTCACTTCCGTCGACTGTTCCAGTATTCGACACCTTGACCTCGAACACGAGGTTGTTGTCGTCGCATTGTAAGTCTGATGTTAGGATTGCTGGACATGGGGGCTTGAAAGTGTCATCAGTGTAGTTAAGGTCCCGACAGTGCTGGAACTTGTTCAATTGTATGTTCAAATTTTTGTCAGCAGATGTTAGTGAGTAGGCAAATGTGGTGTAGCTTAAGCCGGATCCGAAGGGAAAAACTGTGGAGCCATTGAAGAATTTGTATGTTCTTCCAGGGTACCCTAAGCTGTCAACTGGCCTTAAGGACATTGAGGTCATTGGTAGCATATCAACATAACTTCCTTCATGCCATGTGAGTGGTAATCTTCCACCTGTTTAGCGAAAAATTCAACTTTTAGTACATGTTTGATATATAGTACGAGACAAAATAATGAATGTTTACCAGGATTGTGTTTCCCAAAGATGACGTCTGCAATGGCTCGACCTCCTTCTTCACCGGGGTATCCAGCCCAAACGATTCCTTTGACATTATCACTGTCTCTAGCGAAAGAAATATCGACTCCACCACCAGACATGATTACAAGAATGACTGGACCTTTGGCCACTTGAGCAACTTGAGTGATTAGCTGAGCTTGGTAACCAGGAAGAAGCAAATCTATTCTATCCCTACTCTCAGCCTCAATTGATAAATCAATCCCTGCAACAATAACAGTTGCATGTGCATTCTTTGCTGCTTGCATTGCTGGGAATATCAAGCTCGCATTCTTGCACATTACATCTGCGCAGCCCGTTGCGTATTTCACTTCTGCGTATTTTGAGAAGCCATCAAGTGGAGATGTATATTTACACGGGATGCCTGCGATTTTTGACCAAAAATTTGGGAAGACTCGATGCGAAAGATCAACAATTGAAAATTGTTAGACCGGGACATTTATACCTGCATAATTCCCAATCATGGCAGTGGTAGCATTTGCATGTGGCCCAACAACTGCTATTGTTTTAATCTCTTCTGCGTTCAAAGGCAGAGTTCCGTTAATGTTCTTGAGAAGAACCATTCCTTCTCTTGCTGCTTGAGTTGCCAGTTCAATGTTTTCATCAGAACACACATCCTGCTTGCCAAGAGACTCGTATTTTGAGCTTCCATCGAAAAATCCAAGTCTCATTAGCACAATATAAAGGTTTTTGAGGGCCTCATCTATGTCTTTCTCACTAATTTTTCCTTGTATTACTGCCTTGTCGGCATAATTCGTGAAGTAATTCCCGCAATCCAAATCCAAGCCTAGATGAATAGAAAGAATCAGATCATATAATTGGTCAAAACAAATAAAAATTTAAAAAATAAAGGATAGACAATGACGAGCCTGCTTTCAAAGCTTGTGAAACAGCGTCTTCTGGTTCATCATGGAGCCATTTTTGATTGTCTACCATTACTTCAACAGAATCACAATCCGAAACTATGTATCTGCAATGCAAAATTTGTTATTCAATTAAATTTATGCTGCAATATGATAAGATATTTAAAAAAATTGAATTTTTTCTATATGAATACCCGTGAAGATCCCATTCTCCCCTAAGAGTATCCTTCAGAAGCTTTCGATCGGCGCAAGCTGGAATGCCATTGATGTTATTGTAAGAGCACATAACACTCATAACATCTCCTTCTTTCACACACATTTCAAAGGGTTTTTGGAATGTCTCCAACATGTCTTGTTCAGTTACCTTCACACAGAAACAAACAAAAGATTAAACTTATGTAAGAATATAACTTGATAAAAGAGTCATTTTTACATGTTTATTTTACCAGTGCATCGTAACTGGTGCGATCAACCCCGAGCCAACTATCGACATCATAAGCCGCATAATGCTTGCAGCAAGCCGCAACCTTAATAGGTCTGGAGTTAGGATCATCAGTACTTTCATGCCCTTCAACATCCTGCAAACCCCTAACATAGTTTGCTGCATATGTTCCAACAACGAATGGATCTTCACCGGGTGTCTCTATAGTTCGTCCCCATCGAGGATCTCGTACGACATTAATGTTTGGACTCCAGAATGTCAGTCCAGCATGTCCTAGATTATACATAGCTCTTGCTTCATTCGACACAGCCTGCAAATGTAAAAAGAACATTACTCTATTTCATATTATTCAATACTACATACTGAATCACATCTAGTCCTACGTATCAAACATAATCCAAAATTACCTGGCCAATGGTTTTCCACAATGTCTGATTAAAAGATGCAGTTGTTGTTATGGGACAAGGGAAGCTTGTTGCACCAGGGACAATGTCATCAAAAAACGTGGCCTTGCTATTCCACTGGCCCACGTTGGAGACACCGTGCAATGCCTCCGACCACCACTCATACTTAGCAAGTCCAATCCGGGGAACCCCATAAGCTGTATCCCCAATCTGCTGCACCTTTTCCGTCAATGTCATTCTATCTATCAAATCCTTAACCCGAACACCATACGACAACGATGAATCACAGTAGCTAAAATCATCCATGTCCAATCCAAGGTCATTAAACCTTTGTGGATCACAAATCTTTGTGTAAATTTTGGTAAGATTGGACGGTGAATCATTGATTGTGGCAATTGAAGGGGCATTTCTTGCCTCAGAAATGGCGAAAAGAACAAGTATAGAACAGAGAAGAAAATAAAATTTGGCCATTTTTTATAGTTACATAATGTATAGTGTAGGAATGGCCTATTTATAGGATTTGGAAACTTATCCATTTTCATTTTAGATTGAAATTAGATAGGATAATATTATCTCAAAATATTTGTTTGACATTCTGTTGATTTCAAAATCCATATTGTTTGACAATCTGTTGAATTCCAAATCGTTCAAAATCCTGAAATACAAAATATCATGATATGAATGGAGTAATTTGTAAACAATAATCATTTTTAAATTATTATAAATTGTTGGATATAATAACATAATGATTGTCAATTGTGTAATATCCAACAGAAAAATAATATCTTTTATAAGATTCCAACTTCTAACTTCCACCATCATTAATACAAATTAAGGCTTTGTTAAAAATATAATTAATAATTAAATTAATTTCTATTTGAATCATCTAATTCCATAAGCATGTTTGACAACGTAAATTAAATAATACTATCGAAGATAAGCTAAAATTTTACTTTATTAAAATATTATGTTTTAATTCATTATACTTTATTAAAATATTATGTTTTAATTCATTTTTATGTACGTATCTTCACATGCTATCTCGGTATAACAAATTATTAGGAATAGATAAAAATTATCCAATTTTACACACAAATTCAAATTTATTGAAAGGTAAGATTTAACTAGACTTTATACCACAATTAAAATTTTTTCAAGATAAGATTTTTTCCATAAATTGAAAAAAAAAAATATCCAAATTCAGATTTACTAAAGATAAGATTTTACAACAACCAAACATTTTTTACTCCAACTCCTATAACAAAAATTTAACAACTCCAGAACCCATTCCCAGCTACAAATAGTCAATATACATCAAAACAAACAAGTTTTTATCGACACGGTTTAAAAAATTAAATTCATAATGTACCTAAAAAAATTAATAAAATCTGATATGTACAAGAATTGATAATATGCAAAAATGCATAATCTATTAAAAACTAAATCTCACTTAACCCCTGTTTGAGTCAGATTATTTTTTTTATTCTTATTTTTCTACTCATTTTCAACCACATATTTTTCAATAAAATAATATTTTTCATCACATTAATAACTTTTCCTTTTTTTTTTTCAACCACATATTCCCCACCACATCAACAAAAAAATACATTCTTGACTTCAGAATGTGCATCAAATAGGGGCTTAATATAAATGTTTACAAGTCGTCACTTATCATCACATGAATACTATTTATCAACTTCACTTATCCCACTCTTGCTTGATGGGCTACTACCTTCTTTGTATTTATACTTTTACGACTTTGACATGTATGGTGTAGATTAATCAAAATATTAAGTGCATAGAACTATCTCTATAACAATAGACAATTCTTTTTCGAAAAATAAATAAATTATAGTAACGCTCTAGTGTGTTTTTTGGTAGAATTAGCAGTAATGATTGTTCTGGTATTTTAACACTTAAATTGGTTAAAATCATGATCCAGAACCTAACATGTACATAGTAGATGATATATGTTTTGCAATGGTCACATATTTGTTTAATGTAACAAATATACCACAACAATTACTTAGGAAAATGGGTGGCGAACTGATTGAGCCACTCGAGGGCTCGGCTCAGCCATCCTGGTTCGATCCACTTGCGGTTCGTGCTTGATTTTAGAGGAGACATGGGTTAAGCTGAACACCTCTGTTTCACGGCCAATGAGCCAGCTCAATTTTGGACTATTTTCATTAAAATTTATTTAAAAAAATAACCCGATCCATGTGCTGTCTCATTTTGACTTGTTTCCTTAATTTTTTCAACAAGAATGAATTGTGCTATGGGCTCATGAACAACTTAGCTTGACGAAGAGATCCCAATAACTAAAAGTTGTTAAATTTTCATCAACAAAATAACCGAAAAAAGATCACGTCGTTTATGATCTGACTAGTTCAGTAATCGTCAAATTAAATAAGATTTAACTCGACTTATTTCTAACCCAATTCAAATTTGTTTAAGATAAGATTTTACCCGAAAAGTTAGAAATATATTCAAATCCAATTTATTGAAGATAAGGTTTTACAACAATATTTTTTACTCCAAATCTTATAACAGAACTTTAACAACTTCAGAACTCATTGATAGCTACAAATTGTCTTGGTCAACATATATAAATCAAAGCAGACAAGGTCTTATCCGACACAAATTAAGAAAATTAAATTTGTAATATAAAGAAAAAAATTAATAAAAACTGAATTGTACTAGAAATGATAATGTGTAATGATGCATATTCTGAAAATCAAGATCATGTATATAGTAGAAGAAATATGATATGGAATCTTCCCCAAATTTGTTTACCGTACCAAACATACCACAACAATTAGTTAGGAGTATGGGTGGCGAACTCATCGAGCAGCTTGCGGGCTCGCTCGGCTCGAATCATCTTGGTTTGATCTGTGTGTGGTTCATGCTTGATTTTAGATGAGACATGGGGCCCACCAGAACACCTTTCTTTCATGGCCCTTGAGCCAGCTCGTTTTTGGCCTATTTTCATTAAGTTCTTTAAAAAATATGGGCACATGTGCGGCTCGTTTTTGACTTGTTTCCTTAATTCCTTTAAAAAACAAATCGTGCTATGGACTCATGGACTACTCAACTCAGCGCAAAGTCCCATGATCCAAAGGGTTGAAATGAGCCTAATTTGTGAACAAGAGCCGAATTTGTCTAAGGACCAAGCCAAGTTGCCACCCCTAATGAGGAGTGGTGGAGTACATAGCTCTCCTCCACTTGAAGAGAGAGGACAAACCCGTTATTAAATTACGACCTTAGAGACCTTTTCTATATGAAAGTTGGAAGAAAAAGAAAAAACGTAAAAAAATCAAAACATCTAATAACAAGAGAGTATACAACATAAAAGGCATTTATTACTATCCTTGTGTACAAAAGTTTAGGCTGTTAGATATGTTTGCTTGGTTAAGCTTCAAATAGTAAAAATTACTTTTAAGAAGAAAAAGGTTACCTATTTCAAAAATAACTTTTACGATGATGTCAAAACAACTTACTTATTATCAACTTTAAAATATCTTTTATAAAGATTTTTGAAAACGTGGGTGCGTTTGGGTGATTACACCAACAAATACTAGTGCTTATAAACCAACTCAGTGCATTTGCAACTTTGTATTTGCCGGTCCATCCCATATGGACTCAGCCCAATTAGTCAGTGCTAGGTTATGGGCTGCTTAAAATGTGAACACGGCCCGTTTGACACTTCACTATTATTTAGCCCTTATTCGGTCTCCATTTTGAAAAAAATATGGGCATATTCTTTTTATCATTTTCAAGTCATTTTCTATTTTCGATTTTTCAAGACGGTGAAAACGCGTTCTCTTCCCTATTTTTGAAAACATATTTTTAAAAACAAGTTAAAAATTTACAAAAAAAACTCAAAATGACAAATTTGTGTCGTTTTTTGTGTTTACAGTTATAATCAAGTCAAAATTTTCAAAACGCGTTTTAGATGTTTTCAAAACAATTTTTCAAAATATCAAAAAGAACACATTTTCAACAATCTCAAAATGGATACTCAAAACACAAAACTCAAAATGAATTCAAAAGTCAAAACATAAAACTGAAACACAAAGAGAACAGCCCCTACAATTTTCTTCTTCTTATTTTTAACAATATTCTCTAATTAAATAATATTACACGTAAACCCAAAAGTTTACCGTATTTTTTAATGATACATTCTCCAAAAAAATATTATTTCAAAATACATTTTTCCCTCAAAATTTATTTTTATTGGAGACCAAACAAGGGCTTATTAGATTGAAATTTTCACATATTAAATTTTCAATAAAGACTAATTTTGAGGGGTTTATCAATTGGTCAGGCATTGGATTTGCTCCCCAATGGTCATCAGTTCGAGTTCTCTCATGGCCACTGAGGTGAGTATTTAGCTGTAAATTTCAGGGTTTCGTGGAATTAGTCGAGGTGCGCACAAATTGGCCTGGATATCCAAGGTTATAAAAAAGAAAAAAAATCAACAAAGACCAAACAGAGGGCGTGACCTAATGAGCGGAGTGGGTGCTCTTATCCTAAAAATGAAAGAATCAATCCAATCGTATATTATTGAATTGATTTCTCGTCGTTTCTTATATTTAAGAATTCAATTCAATTTCTTTTATTCTTACTTTTTCTCTACCAATAATGATTCTTGGAAACTCGACATACCTGAGGGTATTTTTGCTAATGTATGTCTTTGTAGTTTGTATGTACTCAAGTTGGCGTTCAGTGGCAGACCCAACACTCGACGAGGGGTTACGGCCACCCCTGCTAGATCCGTCGAAACTTTTGTATTTTGGAACCGATAGCCGCAGTTGGCAACAATAGACTCGACTTTTGAAATGGTGCAAGGGCAGTGCAGAGGAACTGAAGAAGGTGAAGTGATATTGGTTTAGGCCCTTTTTTGCTTAATTTTAAATAGTGGGCTTGAATTGCTTTACGCCCCTTTTTATAACATTAAGCCCATTGGTAATGGCCCAAAATCCAAAACTCTGATTAAATATGTAATCAAATAGAACTAAAACAAATACAATTTTCACCAAATTTCCGTTCTTTCTCTTATTCTCTGTGCATCGCCCGTCATCGTCGTGGCCATGGAATTGCATGTGAGTTTGTGACGGTGTGACCTATCGTGCCTCTAACTTCCTCCATTGGAATTTTTGTACGTAAGTCTATAATTTGTGCAAAGATTGATTTGGAATTTTGGTTTTTGTGGGCTGCTTCTTCATTTTTTTTGTGCAAAGATTAAGTAGTGGGCTTTAATTTGGAATTCGTGCAAAATTTAAGTAATGGGCTTTAATTCCCTTTTTTCATTTTTTTTAAAATTTTCTTGTCTGATTTGTATTCTGGTCTTGAGGAAATTACACTAGACCAGGTGTTTAGTTTTAACTTTCTAAAAATCTGGTTTTGACTTTTTTTAATCAAAAATCAGGTATTAATTTTACAATTAATATTAATAATAATATTTTAAA